GCAATTAACTCTGCATCATAGCAGCAGTCTGCCTCGCTGTCTCTGTCACACACACACACACACAGTACAGTACGTTTATGCAGACACAGAGATTGCACATTAACTGCTTAACTTGAATCCCCAAAAAATGAGATTCACATATTGCATGTTCAGTGATGATGTAAATCAAAATGCTCTGTGTGCCTCACCTATTTCACTCACTCAGGTTTGATAACATTAGCTTTCAAATATGACCCAGATATGTGCAATGAAGCTAAGGGCTGACACTTGATGTTTGAAAAGGGCTTACTCTGTGTAAAAGGTCACCTGTGCTGCTGTGCATACACGCTGCACACACACACACACGCACCACACACACAGTGTAACTATCATAGGGCAGGTTTGTGACAGTGTACTCTCCAAGCTGTCAGCGCCATTCTGCGGTTTGTCCGGGACAAAGCGTAAAGTTCCCTTGGGCTTTCACATCTGCAGACTGACTGGTACAAAGCATTCCCCACAAATACAGAAGCAACTACAGAAGCCAATTAAATGCAAACATGCATTTGGGTTTTTTATGTTCACATTTGGACCTATAACCTAAAAGAATGTAACTTAAAGTAAACTGCAACAGCGACTGGATTCCAGTAAAGGCCTTTAATGTCACCAAATGGAGATAAGTGCGCAATAGAGCTCTCTCCCTCTGACAGATATTTATAGATAAACATTTTATTTGGTACTTCTTGTCTGAGAATCAAGCTTTGTGTCGGGGGTCACAGCTCAGCTCAGGTTTTAGCAGCCGCAGTGCACAACCAGAGAATATCAATGTCAGTCATGCCATTATGAATATCAAGTTGCATGTGCGGAACTGCTCTGAGCAGAACATTCTTCATCATTATCGTAATAACCAGAACATATTCTGAATACACAACAAAACATTGCACAGTCAAGTGGTGCAGTGAAAAATTAAACAAAAATGCACGGCCATAAACACAACGTGCTGAGGACGGCGGTTGCAATATTATTAAACTGATACATAAATAAAATAACCTGTCACTCCAACACAGAGGTGTAGAGAGGATATAAACTGCCCACAGACTCACACTTCAAAACAAAAAAGAGCAACACACAAAACAGCTGAGTTCAGTGAGTTACGATTATCGCACCGTCTGTTGTTTTACTCACCTGTCTGAACGTCATCCTGGGACGGGTTTTGTCCTACTCAATGTGCTCCACGTTACACTTCTATGCTCGTCCATTCTCAGTCTCTCTGTGTCCCAGAAGAACCAGTCCACACAGTCTCTGTGTCCCAGTAGAACCAGTCCACACAGTCTCTATGTCCCAGTAGAACCAGTCCACGCAGTCTCTCTGTGTCCCAGTAGAACCAGTCCACACAGTCTCTATGTCCCAGTAGAACCAGTCCACACAGTCTCTCTCTCTGTGTCCCAGAAGAACCAGTCCACACAGTCTCTATGTCCCAGTAGAACCAGTCCACACAGTCTCTCTGTGTCTCAGAAGAACCAGTCCACGCAGTCTCTCTGTGTCCCAGTAGAACCAGTCCACACAGTCTCTGTGTCCCAGTAGAACCAGTCCACGCAGTCTCTCTCTCTGTGTCCCAGTAGAACCAGTCCACGCAGTCTCTCTGTGTCCCAGAAGAACCAGTCCACGCAGTCTCTCTGTGTCCCAGAAGAACCAGTCCTTTTCTTATATGAATGACGTCATCCATCATTTTATTGCATTGTTGTGTTGTTGTTTTTTTGTTCTGTTCACTCACTGTAAGCCCTGGTGCCCCCCCTCCCACCACCAAATATAGATATAGCCTCGCACAACATTAAATGAAAGAATGAAAAGTAGGCTAACGATTAAAGTCATACTAAAAAGCTATGCTAATATTTAGGACTAATTGATTAGGAATTCATCAGGTGCAGTCAACCTAACACCTTGGTAAAAGTTGCTCTGCAAAGATTGTACAAGTGACAAAAATGTTTGTGATAATCCACAAAATGTCTGTTTGTTTTATATGTTTGTTTGACTCTATTTACAACCTTGATTTCATTTTATGTTGCACAATCTAATCATCCACCACCACACCACTCATTCTGATCTTAATAAACCAAACATCTCTGCAGACCTATTTGTCTGATCATGACCATACAACCCTTACCCACCTCCATACACACACTCAGGGAACTCACATTTAATGTACTGTGTTTGTCTTTTGTTGTTGTTGTTTTTACTGCTTGCCTTTCTGTTTGAGACTTGATTTTCAGTTCTCTTTGGGGACAACTCACACAAGCCCACCCAGATCTCTGTCTTCTTCTGCACAGCTGTTATGTATCTTTGTTTTCATTTTATGGTTTCTTTACACATATATAAACACCAATCTTCATCCAAACTCCCCGGGGTAATACTTGCACTATGCTGTACCCAACAGGTTATGTATTCATGTTGCTCAGATAAAACCTCATGAGGTGGCCACGCAGAACATGAATCCAGGACCGCAGTCAGCTCAGGGCGGGCCCACGCACATCTCAATGTGTGGCTGATAGCTTCGCTGCAGAAATCTGGAGTCATGCTGGCGCTAAATATAGACAAAGGTTTTATGTAAGCTGAGGTGAATCATTCCATTCCGCAAATTCCAGCACATTTATTCACACACACACGGAATAAGTGACACAGCACAGGTAAAGGACACACAGGCATGTGTTAAACATCCGCAGTGCTCATCACATGAAATAGATTTAGAGAACTGACAGCACAGCATACGCCTGCTGTCTGCCTGCTGAAATCCCACACAAACATGTGTGTGTGTGTGTGTGTGTGTGTGTGTGTGTGTGTGTTCCTCCAGGGCCTATATGAGACAGTTGATTTGAATGTGTTAATCAAAGCCCTAACGTGTTTGATTGGATGTGTGTGAAAGGGCTGGAGGGTTGTCCTTCGCATATAGGCATCCCAGTGTCTAAACAAACAGCACACACACACACACACACGTACACACTTAATCACAGTAGGACGGAGCCCATGTAAGCGTGTGAAACAGTGGAGCACAGGTTTGTGTCTCTCCCCTCCTTTGACATTCACTGGTTCACGCACACCACCTACTATTTGTTTTATTATCAGTATGAGCACAGTGACCAAAGGAGTCAGGGGTAGAGGTCAGTATCGAGCCTCGCTCAAATGATCTGAGTGGATGCAGAACGAGCTCTGGATATTGATCTCGTCTGCCACAAAATAATGAAGAGGGGAAGTGTTAAAATGAGTTATTTCCAATTAAGAGTGCGGGAAGAGGGATGGGTTTACAGCTGAGGAATGACTGAGAGAGAGAGGGAGAATGAGAGAGACGAGTTGTCAGAGAAAGGCAGAGAGGAAGAAAAGAATCAGCAGGGTAAGATGGAGGAAAGGGAAAGATGTTGGAAAGAGATGTAAAGAAAAGCAGATTTGTTTGAGGTGGAGAATTGAGGGGAAGAGAAGAAGGGGGTGGAGCATGAGTGAGACAGAAAGAGATACAGGGAGTGGAGAATAAAAAAAGAGGAGAGGGACTGAATTGTGGTCATCATGGCAACCAAATCTCCTCCTCCTCCTCCTCCTCCTCTTCTTCCTCCTCCTCCTCCTCCTCCTCTTCTTCCTCCTCCTCCTCCTCCTCCAGAGAGAGCACCTTTGACACTGCCGGGTAGCTTCAGAGCACTGATAACCTCTCTATCTCACACACACACACACACACACACACACACACCTGAATGTCCTGGAGAAACCTGCATGTCAGACTGACCATATGCATCAAAGCCACAGACACACTCACGTGTCACTGCTGTTAATGGGTCCTGACAAACAGAAGAAAGAGAGAGGTCATCCTGCATGATTCCCTCAGCCTTTGTCTGGAAGGATCAGAGCATGGGAACCTGTTCTTCACCTCCTCTTTTCCATCCGTCGCTCCTAAAATCAGCCTCACACACATTGCCCTCTGTTACATCAGATTAGATTATGATGATACTTACGAGTCTCTCAAACACACACACACACACACACACACACACACACACACACACATTAAAAAGGGTGTCTGGTTGAAAGGATTGCAGAGATGTATGCCCTTGATTTGATTTTCATGTCCATCCCATGCATGTCGGACACGTTGTGCTGGTCAGCCAGAGATAGACAGAACTGTCAGATGGTAGGGTTTTTGTTTAAGATATTGCTTCACTTTCTTCTTCACAGGCTTCAGTCGGACCGTCGTTGCAAGATCAGAGGAAGTCATTTCGGGTTCTTTTAATGTTGTGTAGCTATGTCATTTTAAGACGGTCAAAAATGAATGAAAAAGGTCAAATCAATATGGAATCCTAAGTTCTGACAGCAGCTGATGGCAGAGAAAGTGGTCAGACAATTTCTGCATGTACACGAACAATTTCTCTGTGAATTCCACCCTGTGAAATTGTCACTTTAATGTTGGAACAAATGTGTGAACTGAGACATTTTCCCCAACGTCTTTAAGTAAATTGCATTAATATAGCAATGGCGCCATCTTCTGGCTTACATGGCTACGTTTATTTATTTATTTCATTCATTTGACTTTTGTGAGGTATATAAACAGAATCTATTTACGGAACAAGAAAGGGAACCAAGGTTAGGCCTTGCTCAGTCATTGAAGATTTCAGATTTAAGATAAAATTGTGTTTATAGCTTGAGGATTCATGTCTTGTTCACTGTGAACATCTGCTGGTCAAAGGAATTCATAGCAGGGAAATCGTGAACTCATCCCTCACGGAGACAAACAGCTCCAGTCTGCCTTCATAAGCTCCTCTATACTGATGAAGACTGCTGTTTGATAGGAGGTGGGATGTAGTCTCAGTCTATGTGGATACTAATTATGAATCTAAATCATTATAGTCTTCTTATGAATGATGAGTAAGCGTTGTGCATCAGTTCATAGCCATTTGGTGTTTCGCAAATATGATAATAGTATCTTTGCTCGCCAAGGAAGGGGCTTATTGATAGATACTGTGCTTGTTGAAGGAGTCACAAAAGTCCATGTTGATCAAGTCCGTGCTTTAATACATGTTGTGAAGGCAAGCGTTACACTCAGTTATAAATCTGGAATGTCTGGGAGGGAAAACAAGAAAGCATGCCGAATTTCAAAGCACCTTGAAGAACAATGGATCACATCTTAAGTAGAACTTCTCGACTAAACATTGCAAACAAAGCAAATAACAGCGAGATAACATTGGCTTGGCACTACTCATGTTTATCTTTGCTTTTCAGTCGGTAGCTCTGTCAAGTGTGCAGTAAGAACATGCAGTTACAATGTTTACTGTCTGTGTTTCTTTGGGTACATGTGAGTATTATGACCCTGTACTGTCATCTTTTTGTCTGCTTGCATCCACACATGTCAACAAGCTAAATCCTTGCATAGTACATTGTATGATAAACACGTAAGGCACTACTGATACCACATGACATTTGAGACCTTAAACGCTGGGGCTATATATGTGACCTGATGCTACACTAATTGAAAAAAAGGAATTACAATCCAAAATTCCAGGGAGGGTGAAGGTTTACTTGATCTCGAAGCTCGTGACGCGAACCTCCCCATCGACGCTGAAGCACGAGTATTTCTCTGCACCCATGCGGTTGGGGAAGTGGATCTTGGAGCCATCTGATAAAGTCACCCGGAACTCTGTCGGGGTGAATTCAATGATGATCTAGATGGTGGGATGTGAGCAAGAGAGAGAGTGAGCTGCATGCTCTACTGCATGCTCTACCATATCAAAGTAAATACCTGATCTGATGGAAAAATATAGATAAAGCTCTCACAGATCTCTCTGTAAGTCCATATTTTGGTGCTCAAATAATTAAAGTTATCAGAGGTACAGTGACACATTTTCGAACAGAGGTCCCTAACAGACAGAGAGAGGCATAGCACCTACCTCCAGACACACACACACACACACACACACACACACACACACACAGAGGAGCTCTCACCTTGAACTCTTCTCCCTGGTGGAAAGGAAAGCCTCCCTCACGGTACTCCTCGCACCAGCTGCCTTTCTGGTAAGAGTTGCAGACCACAGCATTCTCGTCTCCGTGGGCGTTGAAACGAGGATTGATATGCATCGTGATCTCCTTCTCATCAGGGCCAATATTTAATGCAAAACTATGGCAGAAAAGAAACAAAAAGATATATTACTTTTCTAAATGGCTGCTTGTATTTAAAATGTGTAAGAAGACACCAAGTGCACAAACTATTGGGACAACCTCAGCAGTAGCGTGGCTGCTCTTCTCATCTGCTAACCATTATCTTCATCAACCCCACATTACCGAATGGAAGTTTAGAGGTAGTCAATGATTGTAACTGATTACAGTTTCCACCTCCAGCTCTGTTTGAGAGTACATACAGTAAAGACTGGCCCTCGTGTTGAGCTCATTTCACAGGGAAAGTTGAACAAGTACAGAAAGTAGGAGAAGAAGAATAGGAACGAAACACAGAAGAAGATGTCTCATTGGCCTCAGTCACTTCTGTCATTTGTACTTACTTTGTAGAATCAGGCTTGGGGACTCCAACAACAGTCAGGGTCTGCCCGACCTTGAAGGACATGTTCTTTATGATCATACCCTGTGGAAAATAAACAGGGGGATGATAGTCATACAGTACGTTATTGTGTGGAAATTCTACTGGCTTTTAACTACATCCAATCATTACTACAGCTTCAGGCAATGAACAGCACCAGCAGTAGCTTCAGCCAACTCTCCGATCCTCACTTCATCCTCAGAAATAACACAACATGTGTTTTCAATTATACTCCCATCAGCCAACTGGTCAAAGATTCCAGCTCTTTCCTGTCCTACCGTTGCCATGGCCCCTTTTCCTATATATACACAGATTTTGGCAGAGGCTAAAAATGTTGAAAAATTATAGGGGACGACCGATAAACTGAGTAATAGTTTCCTAAGTGCAATACTGGATGACGAGTATTCACGGTGGAAAAAAAGGCTGAGCACAGCAGAAAACCTCAGCTCGGTTGCTGCTGTACATGTGGCAGGGGAACACTGTGCCGAGCCACGATTAGGAAATTACACTTGAGCAATCTATTATTATGAAACACAGACGACCACTGTTTAACATTTTGTCACTTTGTCAAACAGTGTATCTGGGGAACTGTTAACTGTCGCCAGGGAAACAGATACAAATATAGCAACCCTTTGTGGGTTTACAATTCTCCCCAATATGGTTAAAGTAGAGGTTTATGAGATATCGGATGAAATCTGATTCTGAGCAGAGAAACCGCCTGAAGATCTTAGCTCTTAGGTCTTAGCTCTTAGTTCGCAATCATGTATCTTGATAAGTAACAGAAAATGATTTAACACAAATATAGAGTTTTTTTAATTGTGATTTTTACAAGATAGAGAATTGTGATTCACCACATGCCTTTCAGAGGTTGATCTTAGCCAAATTTCCAGGGGACTGTAGCAAGAATTTTAACAACTTGTGTGAGTTTTATGCACTGCAGCTGTTGGAAAAAAAAAGTGTTAAATACAGTCAGCAAGAAACCAAACTTTCCCACCGAAAGTAACTTTAAAGGCAGTTTATTTTGTTGATAAAGTTCAGGGTCAGAATGATGAAGTGATATTGTTCACCTGACCACCACTTTAAATAATCCCTAGGTGGATATTGTGCCATATTGCTGCCGGTTTGTTGATTCTGGCAGAACTTGGGAGAATTTATCTGGAATAAAACCAAAAACTGTATTTGAATGATCAACCAAACCATGAAATGAAAAGGGAAGCTGGAGGGATAGAATGACATGCGACATTCTTTCCATGTTAGAGTCCAACTGTTAAGTGTGTGCTTATAACACATGGCACTGGGGCTCGAGCTGTGTGGGGATGGGCTGAGGTCAAAGCTGGCAGTCGCCCTGCATCTCTCCATATACACCGCTGTCTAATGGAATCTGAATGTTGCATTGAATAAGTGATGCCAATTCATTACACAACTAAATATTTACAAAAAAACACATCCAGAAATAAAGGCATTATGAATTTCATCCTGCTGGAATTTCTGTAATACAAATACAAAAATGAGACACTCCCTGATAGAATCACATGAAAAAAAAGCCTCCTCATGACCACTTCTGCCTTTTTCACTTCAAGAGGTAAACATGGTGTCCATGGTGACTTTATTTCATTATATCCTTTAATGTGATTTAAACCCGCTGCCCCCACCCCGCTGTGCCCTTTCCAATCACATGTTTACCCCTGTATCCAGCAAAAAGCCAGAATAATACAGGGCCTTATTGTAATCTACTGAGTTTATGAGTACCAAGAGACCACAATGCATTGCTGGACGTGTTCAGCTGAGACGGAGAAGATTGGAATGAAATGGACAAATGTTAGAAAGCGTTTCTGTTCCAGTGTAATACACTTACTGCAGGAAGAATGTGCCAACTTAAACAGCTGACTTTTTTCCAATGCATTTGCTGCTTGTATTAGTCGACTAATGTGAATGCACGTGTGCTCTGTCGAGAATACTTTGACCATAAAAGGCAATCTAAGAAGCCCAGACCTCTCAAAAGAAAGAAAAAGCAGCTAAAATGATGTGCAATGAGCTGATTTAGTTAAAGCATAGTTCAGCCGGTTCAGATTCATTGACTGTATGAGGTGAGCTGACACTCAACCCAGCTGTCAGTGCCACTTATAAAACAGGAGCCGACAGTGCTCGTCTATCTGAGTCACACGATTATCAGAACAGAGTAAAACGTAGTGCAGGGGCACAATAGTGGTGTCAAAGTGGTACTTACTTTATTCATCTTTGCAGATGGAGTCACTCAAGTCGGGTTGAGAAGAAGTGAGAGTGGTGCAGGGCCTTGACTCACTGCACCCTCGCAGGCTATATACAGTGTGGGAGGTTCCTTCAACCCGAGTGACATTTTCAAGCAGCGAATACAATCAGGCCACCAGAGAGCATCGACCAATGACGTCAAAGTGTGGTTATAGTCTGTAAATGACTATTTTAGTGCTTAACAAGTGATTGCAGACCTGACGTGAAGTGAGGATAATTAGTGATTTGTTGACATCAGACTGTTATATTGTAAACCGGTGGTGTGGAGTCTGACTGTGAGAGGGTGAGAGGGTAAACTAGAGTGACAGACAAGAATAGAAATGCATTCGTTGCTAGGGAGACAACTAAATATTTGGCGCAGCCAATAGCCTTAATGCGCACGTACTGTTTATAGCTTACAGTAGGATCAAATGGCCGCATTTGAGACCAGTCGGCCTGCTGCATAAGTCAACCTCAGTTTCGGGAGAAAGAGGCCAAAGGGAAATGTTGAAACTGAGTCAAAATCCTCACAATGATCTGAATCTCTGACTCACAGCCAGCAACAGGCAATACTCTCACCAGCTTGACACACAAGTGACACAGCTGCTGTGACTCAATGAGAGAATGAGGCACACACACGTACACTGCAGTGTGATACTACATAATGTCGTTTAGATTAAAACCACCAGGAGCAACTGTCACAGTGATTTTCGATGGAGATCTTTCAGTTTTATGAATGTAGGAGGGTTTGGTCACCTCAAGGGTTTAAAAGTATCTCTCTCTTTCACACACACACACACACACACACACACACACACACACACACACACACATTATATAATGTATGTGGTTGCAGTTGCCTTTGGTTTGCATTTTTCACTGTAAACACATCTGCGAGAGGAATCTGAGGGGCAGGAAGTCTGTATAATCATGTCTGCTGGTTAACACACTGACCACCTGTTGATTACTAACAACACATCTGCTTTTACATTATGCTCACATGACAAACAAGCTCACTCTCACAGTCACTCAGCAAACATCCACCAGAAACCAATATAATGGTTGCTCTCTTTCGGTGCACGATGTATCCGGGAAGCTATATCAAGGAGACGTGGGTGCATCAGAAGTTCAATGTGACACAAACATGTTATTTTTTGTCTTGCCCCAAGACCCAGTCTTAAGACAGTCAGCAGATCTATTCACACAGAGACCTTTCACATAAACAGAGGAAGAACACACACACACACACACACACACACACACACACACACACACACACACACACACACACACACACACACACACAGATACACTTATTACAACCATTGTTTTTATTGCTGTATATTGCAATAAAAGTATTGATTATCACACTGTACTAAAGTTAATCTGCTATTAAACAATATGTACCTAATGTATGCCCTGTAAGTAATACTTCCTCTGTGAAAGTTCCTTTTTCCACCCACACACTTGGCGGTGCGCAGACTAGCAGCTTTCTCTATTAGTTGTTATACTTTGAGAGTTATATGATTGGTATGGTGTCCGCTTTGACCTGAGGTGAAGTGGACAGTGGACCTGAGTGTGATTTAAAACAGCAGTGTTCCCTGCCCTCCAGTGGCCACAGTGAGGCACTGCAACTCTGCATGAATTTGATGGCTGAAACATAACTGGTATAGTGCAACGTTACCTTAAAACATCTCTGTTATCAGGGCTTTCAGTCATGCTTATCCAGCTCTCACACTTTACTAAGAGGAAGGATTGTTATAACCTTCCAACGTGCTTGAAAAATAAAGATCACACATTTTAGACCTACAAAATGATTGAACCTCATTACTGTAGGGAACAATGTCCCCTAGAAATCGATGTGTCTAAATACTCTGATAAAGACATTTAGAATAGAGCCGAGCTTTGAGTTTGAGAGCTGTAGGGAGGTGTTCAAGGAGTTTTCAGACATCCCTCCCTCTTTACTTAGCATTAGCAGGATGATGAAATTACATTAACTGAGAAGTAACTTATTTGGGAATTTGAATTCAATAACATTTTGATAAAAACACATTTGTTTATAATAATTAAGTCATAAGTATTCCCCAGTTTGACATTTAAATAGGTGAAATGTACCATACTATTGTAGAAAGTGTTTTAACGTTAATTCATGTCATTAGATTTTGGCTAGGAATACAATTTACCTAATATGACAATGGTGCATGCTGTGACTTTTTAAATTCACTATTAAGATAGACGGTACAGTGGTGTCCCTGGTGCAGTGTCATGTTATATGAATTATGTCCACAGAAGTAATTACATTTTACAACACAGCTAGTCAGAGGCAGACACAAAGCGATGATATTGACAGGAGTCAAAGGTGAACAGGAGACTCCCTCCCTGATGCAACCCTGTGTAATCTGCTTATGGGCAATGTAACATCATTGTAATGTGTAACCATTACATAACTCTGATTGCAGCATTGCACAAACTGCTCAAAGCTGCTCAATGAGGGCCTGGTCCACCGTGTAATTATATGAACGACCCCCTCACTGGTATTGGTCCACTGCTAATATATTCACATTTACTTTAATACTATTGGTGAACAGGAAGTAAAGAAGGCATGTACACACGCTAACCCACGCCTACCTTATTACTATTGATAAGGTGGTGGCAATTTACTCTTAACTGGCTTGAATGTGCACTGACTGCATATAAATAAGCGGCACGTCGTTGTAATGCGAGTATAAGTGAGGCGTAACAGTTTGACGTAACGCTATCTACCGTACCTGTCTGTAGCGTAGCTGACAGACCTTGTGTTTGACGTTAGAGCTTTGCGGTGGACTCTCCAGCGTGTACGCGGTGTTTTGGTTTTTGCCGGCCTGTCATCACAACAGCTTGACATTTATCACTCTGCAAGGCTGGCGTAGAAGATGGCATCAATGGCAGCGGCGCACGAGCCAGGTATACTAAGCCCCGGCTCCATACCGCTGATCGTTGACGCTTTAGTCCCCGAGAGTATATTCGCTCCGGACCGGGGAGGATGTGGGGACGACAGCGGGGACGAGTGCTTCGAGGACGGGGACATGATGAACGGCGAGCTCGAGGACCGCGGGGTTGACTTCACCAACAAGGTAGAGCGAGGCCCCGCAGTGCTAACTACATGGCCAAGCTAACGTTAGTAAACGTCAGTTAGCCGCTCCTGAGAATGAATGAATGAAAAACAAAATATACGCGTTTCTAGCATGTAATAGAGCTTTGTAGTTAATAAACACAAGTTGCACCATAATGTAACCACTGATTACTTAGTAATTACACACGTCTGACTATCTCTGCTCAGGGTTTTGCTTTTGCTGACGTTGAAGTAGCTAGCTGTGGCTAACGCTAGCCCCAGCTGATGCTTGAACGCGCACGTTATCGTTGCTTATCAGTGGAAACACACTGTACCATATGTTACCAAAACATGTCTCTAGCTGACCGTATCTGGGGATACTGCTACTGTCTAAAGAACGGAAAGAAAATATAGAAAACGTGTCAGACTTTGTTGTCAAACAAACCATAATATTGACATCTTGACATGGTGCAACACAACACAGGCTGATGTAATGTAAGGCAACGAGATAATGGTCAGGTTAGCCTGCTGGACCACGAGCAGCAATAATGCCTATGATCAATATATATAAAAAAAGGCTGTAGACATATTTTGAACTATTAAAAGTAGCTATAAATCAGTGACAATGACAAAATAACCTTGCACTACCAAAACAAGAAAAGCCTGTTAGCAATAATAAAGAAAACAGCATCAGGCCACAGACCTATTTGAAGTTACTTAAAGTTGTATAAAGCTGTTAAACCTGTATGACAGTAACGGCAACCAGGCTTGTGTCGAAGTGTCAGATTACACATTACAATGATGTTACATTACCCATAAACAGATTACACAGGGTTGCATCAGGTCTCTTGTTCACCTTTGACTCCTGTCAATATCATCAGTTTGTGTCTGCCTCTCATGAGCTGTGATATACTGCACAATAATACTGAACCATGATATTCTTCAGTATCAATTTACTTTAAAATGTTTTGGCATATACTGTACTATTAATAACACCGCCATAACTAGGGTTTTTTCAGGGACATGTCTCTGTACCATTTTCCTTAAAAGTGAAATAAAAAAGTGACAGCATGCATCATTCACATGGGAAGTTGTCTTGATTGCAGCAGTAATATGATGACAATCAGTGGTTAATAAAACATCCACACTTTCACAACAGGAAGGCACATTTGTCCCATTTCATTGAGTTGTCAGCCGTTCATGCCAGTGATACCGGACCCCTGGACACAAGTTATTTCATTCATGAAGGACTCCATCCTGTAATCTGTGTGTGTGTATGAAACATGAAACTCACTGTACACCACGGCTAATCTTATTTAGTCCATAGCACTGGGTTCACATGTAACCTTGAGGTGTTTCATGGGAAGAGAGACAGCTGTGTTTGTGTGTGGAGATCAGCTTTTTAAGTTACCATTCCCTCTAGCTTTAGCCTACTTTCTACTGTGGCTGACATTCTGAAGATGAGAGTAGTCTGAACTGAGGGAAAAATGCCCCCGAGTTGTTGCTTCCTTTGAAGTCCAGTCACTGTCTCTCATGAAAGCAACCACATCTGGTGCTATCTCCAAAAACTTCTTAACAGTTCATGACTGTCACTGATTGTAACTCATTGCATACAGGATTTGCTTTGATCATCCATTTATCGTAGAACAACCATCCAGCCGGTGTCATAACTCCAACAACTCTGTTTCCTTCCCACATGCACAAACCCAATAGCTGGCACTTGTTAGCCCAAATGGAGAGCAGTATGACTCGTTACTCCGCCAGCTCCGGGACAGAATGGAGGAGGGATGTGGAGAGACCATCTACGTGGTTGGGATGGGCTCAGGTGAGAAAACACCGACACTTTTCTCCTTATTTTTCCAGTCAATCTGTGCCAAAGCACTTTACTAAACCTTGTTAACTTGTTTACTTCCCTCTTGTCCCCCCCTCCCCCTCGTGGTAGACGGTAGTGACTGGGGTCTGGATGAGAAGGACATGGAGGCCTCAGGAGCCACGGTGCGCTCTATGTGTGAGCAAGTGGATGCTGACCTCATTACTCTCCGAGAGCGTAATGAGGCTGCAGGTTTGGTTCGCGACTACCTGATCCGCCGGCGTGTGGGTGAGCTGGACTTCCTGGAGGTCAGGTGGGTGGTCAGAGATTAGAATAGAAAGGTTTATTATGGTTATAATCAAGTAACACTCACAGCACCTATTAGTATGATGATAGTTCCTCTCTTTTTCTCTCCATTGGCTACCAGAAAGTCAGAAAGTAATGCCTTCCTGCTACAGTTTTTTGGTGATATTTGAATACTCCTCTACCCCTTAGGGTTGCAGTCGTGGGTAACGTGGATGCCGGTAAGAGTACTCTGCTGGGAGTGTTAACGCACGGAGAGCTGGACAATGGCAGGGGCTTTGCCCGCCAAAAGCTCTTCAGACACAAACACGAGATGGAGAGTGGCAGGACCAGCAGTGTGGGCAACGATATCCTGGGGTTTGACCAGGAGGGACAGGTGAGGGCTAGAGAGGTGACAGAGCAGAGAAGCGAGTTATCGATATGACTGAGCTTAGTGCCACACGGCGAGGTTTTCAAATGCGTTGACATTCTGAATAACATATTGACCGTAAGAGTAGGAGAAGCAGGCTTATCTTCAGATGAAGGAGCAAAGATTAACAGGAATGTAGAGGATGGCATCCAGGGAAGAGAGAAGTGACTGTAAGGTGATCCAAGTGCACCAGCTAATATCTCACATAACAGCACCATTAATGCATCATAAGTTAGAGTTACGGTACTCTGGCTCGGGAGCTTTTCTGACAGCACAGGGTACTGGTTATTTAGCCTTTATAGTACGTAATACAACCAGGAGAGAGATGGGAAACAAAAAAAACATGCTTACTGTATGAGCACATGAGACAGTAGGAATGATGTGGATACAACTCCCCCCCGTCTGTCTGGCCCTAGGTGGTAAACAAACCAGATAGTCATGGAGGAAGCCTGGACTGGACCAAGATCTGTGAGAAGTCCTCCAAGGTTATCACCTTCATAGACCTGGCTGGCCATGAGAAATACCTCAAGACCACGGTGTTTGGGATGACCGGACACCTGCCTGACTTCTGCATGCTCATGGTGAGAACGTTGCGTCTCTGTGTGTGTGTGTGAATGAGAGCAGTAGGAAATTAGCATCATGCTAATAACTATCACGAATGGGTGCCATATATTTAAAAAAAAACCTCTTAAATGTCTGTTACTATTACTATGTAGCTATATACACACGCATGAAACATCTCTACTTTGAATGAAACCATGTTTTGTCTACCGTGTCCACAATGTGCAACACATGTTTCCCCGCTTCTTTTCACCAGGTGGGCAGTAACGCAGGTATCGTAGGGATGACCAAAGAGCACCTGGGCCTGGCCTTAGCCCTGAATGTGCCCGTGTTTGTGGTGGTGACCAAGATAGACATGTGTCCAGCCAACATCCTGCAAGGTCAGTCCTGTGGAGCTATAACTCTGTATGGATATGCTTCACTTTTACGTTTGAAGACACAATGCAACAATTAGGAGCAGCCGAGGAAGTATGTCTCAATATGCTGTTATCTTTTCCTGTCATGTCTCAAAGTTGCGCCACATGTCGTATTGTAATTTGTAGTTTTTATACGTTTTGTGCTATGCTTATTATATACGGCTATGTGCCATAATTGCTGTGGACGTGCTTTGCTCGTAACAGAGACATTGAAGCTGCTCCAGAGGTTGCTGAAGTCCCCCGGCTGCAGGAAGATCCCCGTGCTGGTGCAGAACAAGGACGACGTCATAGTCACGGCTTCAAACTTCAGTTCGGAGAGGTACTAAGTCTGTCCCAGCCGGATTCAGAGTAAGCTGTACAACTCTCCTTTATAACCTGTGTTTTGGTGTGTGTGCTCCCCCACCCCTACCCCAGGATGTGTCCCATCTTCCAGATCTCCAATGTGTCTGGAGAGAACATGGACATGCTCAAGATGTTTCTCAACCTGCTCTCCTCCAGGACGTCCTACCGTGACGACCAGCCGGCTGAGTTTCAGATAGACGACACCTACTCTGTACCGGTACTGTCCAGTAAATAATGCTTATCACTAAAAGCATTTTATATGAGTAAAAACACGCTAAACATCCGGTTGTGTTCTGTTTGTGTCTCAGGGAGTGGGAACAGTAGTATCAGGAACAACTTTACGCGGACTCATACGTCTGAATGATACAATGCTACTAGGACCAGACCCCCTGGGCAGCTTCATCCCCATTGCTGTGAAATCAATCCACCGCAAGAGAATGCCCGTGAAGGAGGTTAGAGGGGGCCAGACCGCCTCATTTGCCCTCAAAAAGGTAGAGAGGGAAAAATCTCCCACAGCAGCATCTAGGGGGGCGTTTGGGACTGCCTTTGTTAGTTTTGTTATGATTAATTAATTAACTGCTCAAACCATGTACAGTATTCATGTTTTTAGGGAAGGTTGTGTATCACCAGCATGGTCCCTGTATGGTTATTTCCCTCATTTCTTCCATCTTTCTTATCTCACTCCATTTGTGTAGATCAAGCGTTCGTCCATAAGAAAAGGCATGGTGATGGTGTCCCCAAGGTTGTGCCCGCAGGCTACCTGGGAGTTTGAGGCTGAGATCCTGGTGCTGCATCACCCAACTACGATATCCCCCAGATACCAGGCCATGGGTGGGTAACAATGACACGGAAAGGGGTCAAGGAGTTAGCGGGGGGGGGGGCTTTAGGCTTCGGAGAGCAATTTGAGCAGAGGCCACCAGCTGGTGTTTTCTGTCGGCAGCTCAGATTCTGGAGGGTGCGCGCTGACCATATCCTCCACTGCATCTGCTGCCTCCCTCTGGCTCAATATCTGAGTCAGCTGTAAAATATACACTGTGAAAAAATCCTTGTCCATGACATCTATCGAACATTGTTCACGGTTGGAAAGTAACACAAGCGAAGGGAACAAGGAAGTGTTTGAGCGGCATCGCGCTCCACAGCTACTAAAGCTGAGAGTAGCACTCTGTAGTTCTTTCTCATACCATGTGGGAAGCGGAAGAACAAGTTTTTAGCAGCTGAGCCCCAGCCACACCGAGGACATGAGTTACAACTGCAGACGTTTTTCACACTATATACCCGACTCAGAAAGATAAGAGATAAAGTAAAAAAATCTGCGAATTTTCCTTTTAGCAATAAGTGCATGTGGTTATTTTGGTGATTCATTGCTCCCCTTGCATTATGCATAGAGTCATTATTCCCTGTTTCTTTTTTCCCTCACCCACCTCTCAGTCCACTGTGGCAGCATTAGGCAGACAGCCACCATCTTGTCCATGAACAGAGACTGCTTACGGACAGGCGACAAGGCTTCAGTCCACTTCCGCTTCATCAAAACCCCCGAGTACCTGCACTGCGACCAGCGGCTGGTGTTCAGGGAGGGACGCACCAAGGCTGTGGGTACCATCACTAAGGTAACACACAAGGAGTTATGCTGACACTGCGATATGACTGAACACGAGGATGGGGGCACTGTAGTAGTTCAGAGATATGTATTTTCCCCCCATTACAATGATCTGCCAGTGCCTAAAGCCCTAATTATTAAACGGAATCATTTTCAGGACAGTATCAGAAATGCCGATGGCCAATTTCCACAAGGATCATTCATTACATTTAACTAAGAAAGACGACTATAACCATCTTATATACCCAAGATATTTTCACTCGGCTAAAGTCGAGTCGGTTAAAGACCAGAAGAAGCATTTTTTAAATCCCGAGTAGCTGATTCTCTCTTTTTATCTTGTTGAGACTCAAATATTGACTCTTATTCTTTTCAGCTGTTGCAATCCACCAATAACTTACCGTCCAATTCCAAACCTCCACAAATCAAAATGCAGTCGACAAAGAAGGCACTGCCGCGAAGAGAGGACGGCACCACGGCAGCCGCTGATGAAGCAGCAACAATAGCACAGTCTGCAGGCCCAAACGGGACACAACCGGTGAGACACAAGTCAACAAAATACTTATTTTATGAAGTGCGGCCGTATTTTCTTGTTTCTTTGGATTTCCTGTGTACTTTCCCTAACATTGCTGCTCTTTTCTAACTTGTTAACTGCTCTGTGTCCTCCTCCCTTTTGTCTTGCAATATCTTTTCCACCACTCAACACAACAAGGGAGAGGAAGATGAAGAGCCTCAGATAAAAGAGGGCAACAAAGAGAACAAGGTAAAATGAGTCGAGTCAAAGGAACAACAATAGTGGAGGACCCGAAAAGGGGAGATTGTGTTTTTCTAAGCAGGATAGTCGAGTTCATAGCTTGATACATTTGAAGTGAATGTTTTCTGGTCTTGGAGGTGCCTCGTCAAGTGTTTTTTGTTGTCTCTCCCTCGCAGCCAAAGTCTGGAGGAGGCGGCAGGAGACGGGGCGGCCAGAGGCACAAAGGAAAAGGCCAGAACAGCAGCACCAACTCCACGGCGGCTCCCTCCTCAGGAACAGGAGGTTCCTAAACTGCCCTCCTGTAAAGCTCCCCCTCTGCCATCACTCCACAAGTGTCTTCATCCCACAAACCATGAAGGACAGACATGTTTGGAGCAAGACACTCCTTAGTCTTATCACTCCTTGCCTTTTCACACCAGGTCCTACATTATTTATTTTTAAAGGGAACACAAAGGTGTACGTCCCAAACCAAAAAATGCACCTTTAATGCATTTTAACGTCAGCTGCCTTTTACTCTTTTGAATGGTTCGGGTGATGGAAAGCAGTGTGGTTTGAGGTTAGCCTCACTTAGGATGACGACTTATTTCATTTGATGCATATTTGATCAGTCTATGAAATCAACAATTCATTCCTCCGGCTCAATGCGAGTGGAAGGGAGGGAGGCTAACCCGAAAACAAAGATCCAGTACGATACGAGCAGCTATACGTGAACCCCCCCTCCCCTCCCCCATGCATTCCCAGCAAAAAACAATTCATGTACTATTTTTACTGCATATGTAAATTAGATGTTAGGTGTGCTCCGATTGGACGGATTCCATTGTACAAAATGTAATGCAAATAATATATGAATGTAGCAGAAGGCACACGGTGATTTTGAATTATAGATATATGGAAAATATAAGCGGTTGCATTTTATAATCATCAGTTATTTATTTGGCATACATGCAGAACATTCACTCGTAAGATGGTCTCGGACTTCTCACTCGCACTCTTTAGATTCAGGATCCATCATGCTTCCACCGCCAGTCAGCCACGTTACAAACCGTATACAGTTAGTGTTATTACAGATACAGCACATCATCTTCATCATGAGTATAAGACATGCAGTGCTACTTGTAACTCTAGTACCCCATGCTTTATGGCCTGTTGCTGTTAACATGTTGTGACATTTTAAACACACGTTGCCACTAAAAATAAACTGACCATTAATAAACAGGTTATACTGAGATTCTTTTTTTCATGTGTATTTTATTTAAGAGTAAAAAAAAATATTTTAACAGGAGCAAAGATGGGTTCAATATGTTTACAGTGCTCTTTTTCTCCAATATACTGGAACTACATTTCCATACTATGTTACAGATGGAAAGTGGCAACTATTGACTCTGAATAGATGGCAGAATTGTGTATTTGGACTTTACATTTTTGATAATCATGTGAGTTACAAAGGCTACGATCATGTAAAACCACGTTGAGTTCTGTGCACATGGAGACGTTACCGTTAACAATGAAGTCCAAAGAGTTTCTCAACTGAGAAAAGGAATATTTCAACACCTGTAAGATCCAATTAGCTTGGCAGGAATCTTTGCCATCAACAAAGTATCCAAAAACTAGAAAAAAAAAAAAGTATATATATTTTGTGATGCACAGGACACGTTTCACAACTTGAATCAGCGTATCAACCTTCTCAAGTCCCCACTTACAGTCTCATGAATGGTCAACAGTTTGAGGAAATAAACGAACACCTGTTTTCTGATGCATGGGCAGATTTAAGGTCAGTTTGGAGATCAGTTTCTAGTGAGAACCATAAAAGTTCTAAATGAAGTTGCTTTAACCTACAAGGGCACATTTAGTCACACGCAGAGTAGTCTTACTTTATATACACAAACATTACACATTATATGCAACATTTATTTACTATAGATTCAAACACTGAACGTATTGATCTGCTTCATTTACATGATGTCATACAAGTGCAGACTGTTCACCACCACTGTTCAGGTAGCTAGCACGCGCACACGCACACACACACAAGTCTTGTATTACAATTCAAAAAGGCTTTACTCGGCATGTGCAACATTAGTATTTAATGAAATATATTTATGGAGTTAATGATATTGAGGTAAGTAGCATTCCTCTCAAAAACAGAATGAGTAACTTTACAGCTCCATGTTTAGGAATGTTTTGGTCTTATTGTCTGGGACTTTACAGGGCGATGTGTTTGTCGTGGGGGAGGAGCTGCTGCTGGATTTTACAGACACACAGAAGAGAATGGACTGAATGTCTCTCTCTGGCAGAAAACACTCAGTCAGCTGAACGGCCAGAGCAGTGAGTACTGAAGAAATACTTACTGTTCGGACACACCGAGTGCTGCAGTCCTATGGGTACAGACTATTCTGTACTAGAGTGTTCTACTAACTAGTATATAGCTTTCACCATGTAGTGCAACCTCCTACACTGGGTCCGAATTAAAATAAAGAATGCATTTTAATGCGCACAAACTGGTCGGCCTTTATCCGATGCTGGAAGGTCTGAGAGGAGTCTCTGTAGCAGACAGTGGTGTCCCATTTAGAATTGATAATCTGTGAAAAACAGGTAAAGAGACATCGACGAGACACAGACACGCAGGACAAAGTGCGATTCAGCCAGATTCTGCACCGTATCTAGCCATCGATGTCCCAGCTGAAGAGATGATGTTTTACCAACATATCCTGCACTCCCTCCTTCAGTGGCCTCTGCTCCTTCTCCTGGAAAAGAGGAAAGCGTTTACCTAAAGACAAAATCAGCACTACAGCAGAGATGATTTTAAAGATGTACTGTGTTGTTGACCGCTGATGAAAGCTCACTTTTTCAAAAGATCGAGTTAAGAAGAGAAATGTCCAAACTCCATTTGTGTGATAGTGTCTCAGTCCTAAATCAGCAGATGAGTAAACTAGTAACTAGTGACTACACTAAAGCATGTTAACTAGTAACTACACTAAAGCATGTTAACTAGTAACGAATGACTACACTAAAGCATGTTAACTAGTAACGAATGACTACACTAAAGCATGTTAACTAGTAACGAATGACTACACTAAAGAATGTTAACTAGAGGTCCCAACTAAAGAGGAGATGCTCAACCAGCACATCCACAACTACGGCTTTCAGAATAGTGGATTTCTGAAACGGCAAACAGTCAGAGTTGTTCTCCCCTGAATACTAAGACTTGCTTACAGGAGCATGCTGGGTAATCCCCTTCACTAACCTCTTTCTTGTCAGGCAGCTCACAATCTTGGGAGAGGCTGAAGGCAAACTTTGATAGCACCCTGAGGAGACAACAACAGCAGACCATCATTATTTCCTTTATTGGTCAGATGATGTGTCCATATTCATATACAAATTAATCTTTGTTCTTAAAGCCCTTTTTAGATATTTAACCCTATTTTAACTACTGGTGTATTTGTGGGAAATGTGGAAGTACGGTGAATATTAACAACCAACTTCTGGAATTCTGTACGGAGTCATTGGCAGCTTATCATATTTATCCATTCCTGGTTTGTTTGCTCAAAGTTTCCACAGGCAACCAGAACCAATCAAAACGGGCCGCAGTGTGTCTTACCTGAGCTCACACTTGATCTGTACCCATCCAGGACTGCGAAGGAATGACCAGGGATGATACCATTTCTCTACAGCAGCCATGCTGGAGCACAACACCTCCAACCATAGGTGCAGCACCTGCTCACTGGGGGGGGTAGACACACGTTGAAACCTAAGCCTGTGCTCTCTGTAAACATGATTTTGATTCTGTGTGTGTGCACATCAGTCTTGAGAACTCACTTAAGGCCGACGCAGGCAAGAGACCTAAACTTGACATCCATCTGAGCGTGTGCGGTGTCGTGGCTCATGTTGACTGACTGCACTGCCTGGGAAGAGAAAAGATGGCGCTCATGCACTTCCTGCTTGATGATGACTAGGCACTGCTTTCATAAAACACACTTAAAGTTGGGAACTGGGACAAACTTCATGTCCATAAAATAATTGAAAAATATTTCACTTTAATCCTCACTGCAGTCAACATTTAGCAGAATAAAACAAATATGCAGCGCGTTTGTTTTTTACTACTAGAGTGAATTCTTACTCTGTATAGCAGCTCCTCTGGTGTTAGTACTTTCCCATCTTCATCTAACCTGGTGAAGACCAGAAGAGAAAAAGCTGAAAGTAGACTTCATTCCACTGACAACACATTTCACTTCTTACTGACAGTCAACATTTATTTGTTCCAGATCGTTTTCATCCAGGACCTCATGTCGATAGGTACGGATGATCCATGTGAATAGAATCCCTCACAGCTATGTTACATGTTCACTGTCTGACAGTTTTACCTGTAGGTTTTACACAGCACTAGTCTGGAGTAGACGGAGTTAAAGTCCCTCTCTACCTCTCTACTGGCCGCCTGACAGAAAACAAGAAGACACACAATGATTTAGTCCTCTGGTGAATTTGATTCAACTCTGCAATATGGTGCCATTGAAGAAAAGCTCTCCTACCTCTTCTATGAATAACCAAGGATGACACGGGCCTCCCAGTATCGAGGTCTTCTTGAGACCGTGCTGAAAAATGGCCTTCAGGGCCGGACACAGTGTTCCTCTGGCGAGGTCCGTCACTGCCTCCGTCACCGAGTCGTCGCCTGCTAATGAGTACTGCAGACACAAAAGGAAAGATCACAGTTTAGGACACTGATAATCAGGAAACCGGATGCAAGTAAACACATCAAAGGACTGTCGACTCCGCATAGGAACACGCACGTCTTATCAAGCTGATAATGAACTGCTTTCATACCTCTTTGCTTCTTTCATCGAGGACCTCCACAAATTTAGCTGGGAACCAACCTGTTCAAAAGAAGATCTTTGTCAAATGAGCTTCAAAACTGATTAAAAGAGAAATCAGTGATGGCAGCACTGGGTGCCGTTGATACATAGGAAGCACACACCTCTCAGGCCGTTCAGCTCTCCAACCCAACAGTGCTCATCTTTCTGTGAGATGATCTGAAAGAGACAAACAGCTGTATAAGACTCACAGGTGAGCGGGGAGGCGTGCCAGTGATGCAATGCATGACTCACAGTGATGATGTCATTCTTCCTGAAGCCAAGTTCATCGTCGTCATGACGCTCAAAGTCCAGCAGAGCCTTTCCCCGTCTCCGTCGGTTGCGAGACACCACGAGGAAGTTCTCGTGATCCCGCTGGTGGCTCTCCATGGAGTAGTCAGGAGTCAGCTCCTGGGGAGACGTCAGGGCAACATTGAGTCAAACTGGAAGGTCTGAACTACACTCTCTTTGCGCTTCAGCGTGTGAACTCACGGTGCTGGAGTGACGAGGGTCCAGACAGTGGAAGTGCTCTGAAGTGCGGGTGATGGCCTCTCGCAAGGCTGCTACTAACTCCGTCTGCTTAATGTTCTTGGATTTTAGGGCCTCTGCCTCATCCTCCCCAAACAGCAGGGAGCTCAGGGTGGACTTCCTGCGCAGGGACTGTCTCCTCACCACCTGAACACATACAAACGCACATGACACGGATTAGTCTCCAACAAAAATAATTGATGTTTCAGCAGACTAACCAAGACTGCAACAACTGACCTTGTTGAGATTGGTGTTGTGTGTCGTGTTGTTTCCGTTGCTGAGCTGTGCCTGTTCGTTTAGGATGTAGGCTAGGTGCTTGTGCCGGTGGGCTTCCAGTGTTTCCTGGGACAGAGTCCCCGCTAGCCTCATAGCCTCCCCAAGAACTGCCGGACCATCTCTCAGCTGGCTTGGCAAGTCCGAGAGAGTATTAAAAATCGATGCCGAGTTCTCAGAGGACACAAGCTCCTCCTCCTGGGGGTCGGGGAGTAAATTCCAACAGGATCAATACTCAACATAAACAGTTTTTGTCAATGGAAGAAGGAGCTGGTACCAATAATGTGGGATGGTTTCTAGCTAGTGACATGTCTCAAGGGATAAAGCAGCCGTCTAGTAATGTGTCTATGTGAATGTCAGCATGTGTTGTAAAGCGCTTTGAGTGGTCAGGATACTAGAAAAGATTTGTTTGTGTCAATTCAAGAAAATCAAATAGGTAATTGCACACAATAAAATAACTCTAAAGCAAAAAGTGAACTGTATCAGGGGGTCAAGACTCTCAAAATATGTGGTGTAGAGCAAATACCTTGATTTTGAGCATGCCCAGTGTGACCTGGAAGAGTACCAGTGAGCCCTGGTAAAAGAGCAGGTCCCAGATCCTGAGGAGCAGACGGATGTCCACCACGCTGGCAAATGAGGTCAGGAACCAATGCAGAGTGATCAGCGACAACTCTGGATGTATGAGGAGGAGGAGGTTACATATTGCATACGATATACAGTTTATAGCTGAAAGGTTGTGGGTAATCTATTGTTGTTCGAATGCCCATGTTGCCTCTCTGACCCCAAGCACCACATCTCACCACCTTCCATAAGACCCATCCTTACCTATGTCATGCTCCTGCAGGAGACGGTCGAGGGCCGGCAGGTACTGAACAATGAGCTGGCGGAGAACCCTTTGGTCCGTTTGGACGCCCAGCAGCGTGGAGGAGAAGTAGGACGGAGGAAGGAGGTCTTCGATAAGGGCACACATCATCCAAAGCACATCCTCCTCCTCGAGGAAGAGCAGCAGACAGGAAACCACCTGATGAGATCGAGACAGAGGGGTCGGCACAAAGAAAAGGAGATACATGTACTGTAAATGTGATTAGTGCATTTATATGAACGCTGAGTGTGCTGGCTGGTGTAATGTAGTTGTTTGTGGTTCTCACCATGCCGGTGCCCTGGCAGTACCCAATGTCTGGGTAGAGCCAGGCCAGACCTTTCAGTACCCGTCTCAGCCTCGGCACTCCAACACTTGTCATGCTACAGAAACACGCGTTGGTGGGCATCGTCCGCAACAGGTCCTTCTCTATCTGAAGGACACAATCGCAATATGATTCTCCAGCAGTACTACGCTGGGAGAAAAGTCTGCAGTAAGTGTTTGGTTACGTGTACAGGAGCTTCGGCTGTTACCTGTTTCGCTGAGCTGGTGTCATCATTAGAACTGTTCTTGATGATTTCTCTGTAAGAGATCTCAGACATCCTCTTCTTCTGCAGAGCTCCAGCCAGACGCATCCACAGCTAACACACACAGAAGAGCTTTAAAGGCAACTGTAGCAGTCTAGTGACAATAAGCTTCATTTTTATGAATTCACTTCCGACTGGCTATTGTGGGCAGTATTTCAGCACAATGTGTACCACTTCTAATCAATAGCTTAAACAGTTGTGCCATGCTGAGCACGTCCATTTACCTGTGGCCTCATGCTGTGAGGTATGCCACCCAGCACCAGCGTACGCAGACGCTCGGAGCGGGAGAGGACCGGATCAATGAGCTCCCAGGTCAGGTTGCCCACCGTGTGGTTGTGGGTGAACTCCAGGTGGGCCTGCCAGCGCAACCGCTGCTGGGGGTCTTCACGCTGGGGCGAGCCTTCAGTGCCCAGCCAGGACCGGGGCTTCTCTTCGTCTGAGTGAGACGAGAGTGATACAGCAGGATTAGTAGTGTTTGGGTTTACGTGTTAATCAAAATATTAATAAAAGTAAAGCCCAGTCCACCTCTTGAATTGGGGTATGGAAGAATGATATCAAGAACAATTGTTAGGACATGGAATTATGATAACTATGATAAGGACATGGAAGGAAAGGAGGCGAGTGAGGGGGAAAGGTGTCCAGATAAGAGACAAGTGGCTAAATAACAAAGACAGAAATAGAACCAAGTGGAGACATACTGTACGTTGTCCACCGAGCAGTTGACAGCTCGTTTGTTGTGTTTCCATGTTAAAGGTTATATTATTATATGTAGACGAATAATTTGAAAATAAAGAATACATCCACATCAACTTTCAGAAACGTGGTGATTAAAAGTATTACTTGTCCTAAAAAAAAAAAAAAATTTAAAAAAAAACTACTATAACTCAGATTTTTTTAATTTAAAAATTGTTGTCGGGTCAAAAATACATTTTGTCTGGCAACTACTTGTGAAGTGAACGCAACACAATGGGAGACAGCGACATCTAATTACTGAACGTTATCAATAGCACCTTAAACTATTTAGCAAAAACACAACAAGAATTATATCAGCATGTTAACTATTAAGGAAAAATAACAACCAACATTAAATATACAAACATTCAGATAAATGCAGAAAGAAAGTGCTGCCAGACAAAATTGCAGAATCTAAGCAGAGAAAACAGCCGCCCCTCCCCCCCGAGGCAAGAGATAAAAACTACAGTCATAACTCAGATCACATGCACATCATTTGTGTAATGTACTGTTGCCACTGTGACCAAATAAGGAAATTTCTATTTGTGTTTCTTGAAAGAGGAAAAGTGAGGACAGAAGAAAAGGGCCCCGATGTGTGAATGCGAGTTGACACTTTACCATCAGTGTCTACTTTGAAGCCAAACTCATCATACTGAGGTTCAGGCTGTTCTGACGGCTCTTTCTGTAGAAGGAGACAAATAACATGCATTTCATTAGTAGAGGAAAAGGTAACACCGACTGTTTTAATTACTATTTTTGCACATAAAACAGCACATGAAGTCACAGCCTCACTTGATGGTACTTGGCCAAAATGTCCTGGGGCCACATGCTTGGGGTGAGAGCAGAGAAGGGGCCGCCAGGGGCCGGTGTGTAGGTTCCTAAAACAGAGATCACAGCTAATTACACAGAACATGTGATGCACACTAGGATTTTTGACAATACTAAAGCCGGTTGAAACCGCAAATGAGATTTCAAAATACATCCAAAGTAAAGAGAAAGACATTTAATCAAATATAAACAATTCATGTCATTTCAGCACTCCCAGGTCGGTGTGTATCTGAGGACAGGAAATAGATCTTCAGAAACCGCTCTTCAAAATAAAAGCCTGTTGCACCAAATTCATTCAAATCTTTACCTGACATGTTGTTGGTAGTACAGTTAATGGCTTCTGTAGATGGGTATTAGTCACTTTTGGAGAAAGGAGGTCAGCAGACAGCACCCACTCTGTGAAAAGGACAAAGAAGAAGTAGTTGGTGGTAAGTGCAAACTAATCATGTTAGTCAGCAGCATGAATAAGGTTGACTTGAATGTTGCAGTGACAATCCACCCAAGGCAGAATAAAATACATTTATTTACAGGATCAGATAAATGAAGTCCATCATGTTGTTCCTCGTCTACTTTTACCTTTTGGAAACCTCTTTGCCGTAAACAAAAGAACCGTTACAGCGAGTCCAACTATTCCGTCAAAGTAGTGTTCCTTCTTCAAGCGTTACTAAAGGAAGAGATTCAGAGGCTCTCTACACAAATAAGTGAGAGAGGAAGAGATGCAGAGAGTTCTGGTCTCTCTTACCATATGACTGCTGTATCTACCAGAGGCTAATTACTGTGTCTGTCTGTGTGTGTGTGTGTGTCAGGGCCGTCTTTCAATCAGAGGGTCGGCGGTTCGAGCTCCGGCTCCGCTAGTCGCATGTCGATGTGTCCTTGAGCAAGACACTTAACCCCAAAATTGCTCCCGTAGCTGTGCCTACGGTGTAGAAATGTGATAGACTCTGAATTGTAAGTCGCTTTGGATAAAAGCATCTGCTAAATGACTGTAATGTAAAAAGTCCAGGGGCAATAACAAACAGTCTGTGAGGATACTCTGAGAGAGCCAGCTTAACAATATTTAGTTCATTTTTTTTCATAAGGAAATGATATTTTGTTGTTGACATGAAGTATCCTGAGAGGGGACACTGTTTAGAGTACAGGCACACGTGAGCAGACGCAGCTGCACATTAACATTAACCTGCAGAAGAGGCTCTCCAGCATGCAAACACGCCGCCAAAATGATTCATTCCAGCAGCAGGCTCTCAGCATCTGAACGGGGATTTAGGACTTAAGAGAGATGAGAAATCAATTTGGGGTTTGGAGGAGGGCCAAGCACTTTCAGGCTCGCTCTATGTGTAGCTCAGAGGTGTGCTGGGACTCCCTTACAAAGAACACAAACGGTTCAATCGTCTGCCAAGAAAACCAACACGACTGAGACCCCCCGCAAACTGTTTGTATTGACAATCTCACTGCAAGATTCTGCTGCGGAAGCAAAAGTTATACCTGAAACATTAGTTTAATAATGAATAAGTAAATAGACATCAATATTATCAGCAACTGTTTTAAAAGGTTAATTAATACATTTTTCCAATAAAAATACCAAACAGATGATGGTTCCAGCCGGACAAATCTAACAATGTTCTGCTGTTCTTTTCTGATGTGAAGGTTTTTATATTTATTGTATCAACAATGCAATCAATTAAAAAAAAAAAGGTTATGATTTTGAATCCTTCTTGTCAGAGTTCTACTACGATTTGATCATTAATGCAAAGAATTATGGCAAATCTGAAAATTGTATACAACTAGGTTGTTTACAATCTAATGACAAGTAGCTGGTTGTGGGTATCAGCTGTTCCTGAAGTTATCAATAACTTTATATTATGTCAAGAATAGAGAACAATATTATTTGCTGCTGACACTGGACCACCACAGATACATCATACTGCGTATGTTTAGGAAGATTTAGTCCTTTATAAGGAATTTGAGGGTTCTTCAGCAAAAATGTTTATGTGAAATAAAATATAAGCTGATGCATTTGATCAACACTATGAAATTCAAATATTAGCATTGACCTCAAAAGTCCAGTTTCCTTTTTACTCTGAACACAATAAGATATTTTCCATTACTGAGGTGTGGCTGAGATCAGCTGTGTTTGCGCACATGGTCAACACCCTGTTGCAAATAAAGCAACATCCTGCTGTACAGACAGGGCAGGAGCATGTGTACGGTAAAAACTCCTTCCTTTTAAATCAATGGAGTTCTTATTTTTACCCTGATAACGGCGTTTGTGTTGCCCACTAGGCCTTCCGCCTCCGCCCCCCCCCCCATATCCTAACACCTCAGTCAGTTGTTCCTCCCAGTAACCACAACAATGGTGACTCATGTTGCCCGCTCGCGAGTACGCCCACCCCAAACTGGCCATGTATGTTGGAGAATTACAGGCTCGTGCACCGCCAAGTCAGCTTTGGCTGAATAATGATAGACAGTCCTGTGTACTGTTTGGCAGGCTGCTGTGTCTTTCCGTCTGGCGCGCGCGCGCGCACGCGCACACACACACACACACACACACACACACACACACACACACAACTGCGTTTAACAGGAATGTCGCTAGGAGAACACACACAGCATAGCAGTACCCATCAGGGTGCAACATGAAGATGGTTTAATGTAAACTGAGGTATCCGATAAACCAGTCAGTTGACCAAGAAGCTATGCTGAAAAAGCTAAAGATGTGCACGGTTGTTCATTAGACACGCACACGCGATTAAGTCAAACTTGAGCTGATTTGAAAAGTATTTTGCTTACTTGTCAGCTATGCAATATCACCATCACTGTGGAAATAGTAACGTTCAATATCAAGTTAACGTCAGCTGAATTAACGTTACGTCAAACCCCCTGCTGACGTCAAATGCAGGTAAAAGACGATAAAATGAGCTGTAGTTTAAAATGAAATGGCAACACATTGGACCGATATCTACACATTCTGCTGACAGTTGCACAAAACCTAAAGCATGCCTACAAATTGTTAAAACTCCTAACGTCCGTCTCGGAGACCAATGTAACGTTATTAACACCGAGTTGTCAGCTGTTAGCCAAACACGCTACCTTTCGCTTTTAGCTAGTCAGGTTAACAGTTAACGTTAATGATGCCCATTAGCCTGCTAGCATAACTTACCGTGACATTATTGTTGTGAAAGCACAAGGATTTGGTTTGTGGCGAACGTGTCTTCTGTCGTTGGAAAGGGGTGAACCGCCATATGCTATGCCATCATTCGTCTCGTATTTGTTATTTCGCTACGTAGTGCACCTGCTAGCGACGCGCATCCCCGTCGTATCCTTACACCCTTTAAGATTTTCCCTTTCCATCCCGAGAAGTAGTTCCAGATCCCGGAACTACACTTCTCACAGAACATATCCTTCCGCAGAGATGACGTAGACACACGACGTTTTTTTTTTTAACTCCATTCATTCATGAGTTTCCTCATTCATTCCAGTGCAAAAACGAACCAGTCACGATTCCCTCGCAGCCTACCAATCATACTGTGAGATGCAATAACCATCGAACAGTTATTGCTCACAAAGCACCCGCATGGACCCCCCCCATGTCAATTATTTGTGTATTTGTTATTTTGAACGACACTTTTTGAATCATGCTCTTTTTAAGAGGATGTGTCCCTGATAAACTGGCACTAACAACAAAAAAATGTATACATGTTTTATGCTTTTTTTTACTTGGAAGGTATGATGCACCAATAATGTTAAAATTATGATATTGTAGCCTAATAATCATACAGGTCTTTCAATTCTTATGATTTCATGAAAATAATTCTTATAGCCCTAAGTTCGAGCATGGGTAGACTATCCTGACAAAAAGAATTGTCATATTGAACTAAAAGATGCTGTTTATGGATCTAACTGACATTCAAATTCAGTATCTTTGATTCGTTGGTCATCATAATGAAGACCAATATTTATCCTTTTCATTATTTCCCCTAAGAGACAAATCTGGAATTTCCTCTAAAATGGTTGCACTGATGGTTGAAACATAATGCTTTTACAGGATTGCTCCACAAGATGTCTCTAGTACAATGAGCACAAGCTATTCCACATTTTCACATTCGTTATAGCTCAACCATTGAAAATAAGACCTATAACAGCATACTGTATATGTTCCATTATCACAGCTCCCACAAGCATCTTCCACCTCCACACAACCACCAACAATCTCACCCACAAACACACACCTAAAATAAAATATTATAATTTAAGTCTGGTGTGCTCCTGTGGTCCAAATTGGCCTCAGAAGACAAAACCCTGTTATCTCACGTTAGTATAGTGGAAGTCAGACCAGGTGGGCATAACAACCAAATGATGAGCTATTCTCCTTCAATGCTGGAGCTGCACATTTTGCAGAGTTAAGAGACTGAATTTGAATGTCTAAAAAATAAATAAATGTGTGTGTGTGCATGAAAACACATGTTGCATAGCCTCCTGACAGAGGGGTCGATAATCCTTTAAAATGCAAATCACACAAGTGTCTCACTCTGTTTTTACTTATTACTCTTATACGCAACAGTGCATCCCTCAGTTACTGCATGCAGTCATCTTTTGACTCTTGCCACTGACACACTATATATACTGTGAAAACTTCGTATGTCCTTTCCTCTAAAATCTCCTTCGCCTTGCATACCCTTCCCTCAATCTCGCTCTTCCTTCTCACCCCCTTCCCCTCTGCCTCTGCCCGGTGACACATCAGTATGACGCCTTTCAGTTCTTTCTACCTCTCTTGCATTGCTTGCATGCACAGTTTGCTGCACCATGCCAGAGTGAGTCACATCATTAGAATTGCTGCTGCCTAAAAGCCGACCTTGCCCACAGCTCGCCGGCCAAATAGCCCCAATAGTGCGTTCACCCTACATGTTCCACCGATGCGGGTGTGGTTCAGTCCCTTTCTGCCTCCTCTTTCACCTTCCTCCAACTCCTCTAGGGCTCATCTGTCTGGCTGCTTTCGTCATTTGTCATAGAATGATGGACACGGTTTAGCAAGCCCTGGATCTTACACTGCAGTTGCTATGACGTCAGTGAGAGAGAGAGAGAGAGCGAGAGAGAGAGAGAGAAGGGGGGGGAGACAGATAGAGCTCAAGAAATGAAGACGGGGGAGGGAGGATACGTGGAAGAGGGATGGAGAGAAATAAAGATGTGATAGGGGAAGTTTGAGTGAAAAACAATATTGGAGAATGAGCGAGAGATTCAACCACGAAGGTGTGTGTGTGTGTGTGTGTATGTGTGTGTTGGGCTAAACCACAAGAAAATAAAGGGCAAGTGTAAGATTAGCAATAAAGAGACATCAGTTGTTCTGATATATTGTTCATATGAAGCAAAATAAACCTCAGGCTCACACATATGTGGGTGGGTTTTTAGTCTGCACGTGCACAGATACAAGCACACACGCACACGTGTTAGTGACTTGTTCATTGGATCAAATGAAAGAGATTATTGATCCAGGTGAATTCAGCAGTTTACCATCTGATAGATGAGAGAAGAACAGAAACAGAGAGGACCACTTGTTCACACAAAGTCAATTTGCTGCAGTCTTGCAGTTTCCCGTCGGGACAGAAGATGGCGCTGTTGCATTACTTCAGTCAGCTTTCAATTAACTGTACGTGTGCCATATTTGAGTAGATTACATTGTAAATGTAAATGTGTCTGTGCCCACAGGTGCGCATGTGTGTAAGCATGCATTGATGCGTGTGAAAAGGGGCTTGTATATGCCCACATTAATCAAAGCTGCTCATGCGTATACATGTATGTGTATGCATGCATTCTCTTTACTGTACTGTATGTGCAGTGTTTTTCCCAGCATGCATAAAAACATCACAATGGGGGGGCGTGACTCCTGTGAGTCCTAATATTTTCATATGGACACAATTTGAACTAAATAAAATTAATTTTGCCAAACATGATTAAGTCTACACCACATAGAGCACACAGGTTTGTGCAACCTGCATGATGTGGCCTCTGCCTCTGGGATCATTTAAACATAATTCATTCATATAAGGCCAGGATAGGCTAAGTCAGGCACGGTCTCTTGAGATGGATCAGCTGCTGTTCCCCCAGTCTCAGAGGATCTCTCCTGTGATGAGGAGGATTGAAGGTAAAGGGCAGGGGCTCTGAGGCTACGCATTGCACTGGCAACTGATTTCTCCTGGGTGTTGTGATGGGAGTGGCTGCTCTTTGAATTTATGATTCTGTGTTGTTGAATCTATACTGTATGTGGGGTAGAGCAGGTGCATGGGGCAAAGAAAAAGGAGGGCAACCATGCTTTCGTGCTACCAATTGAACAAGAAAAGGATCTTTATGGGATGAAGAAAAATGTATTTTAAATATCATATTTGCTTCTTCTTACTTCTGGGTCATGGGAAACATGAGGAGGAAAGGAAGGTGAAAGAGAAGGAAAAAAATGACACAAGTCTCATGACATATTTAATGTACATGGACCAATCCTATTCTCTCTATTTAAGCTTGTTTTATTATATACTGAGGTCAAGTCATTTGGGAAATGATGCACTGAACATCCAAACACATTCACACACCATGGGGTTGATGTGATGTAAAGGAGGTGAGTGATGTGAAGGTCCTGAGGGATAAACATAGTGAACATGGGAATGAAGGAGAGGGAAGCATAGGAGCTGGATTTACAATGTGAGATATTAAATGCAGAGCCAAAGAGGTAGAGACAGTAATCATAAAGCCACAGAAGAATTTGTAGATGCTACTTTCACTGCCGCGTAAAAAAGGACTTGCATTGATGCGTCACTGCAATAAACACCGTGCTATTGCCATGATAGCAAATATTCTGCAATATAACAACACTACTATATGGGGTAGCTATTCATTTTTATTTTCTTAGAACAGTCATATACATACAGGTATGAAATCTGAGCTACTGCCTGGGGAGCAACTTAGGGTTCAGTGTCTCGCTGAAGGACACTTTGAAAGGGGATCAAACTGTAATTAAAAGACAAAGTGCTCCACCCACTGAGCTAGAGCCAGCCCTTATCACAGGGATCACAGCAGACATTTCAACCAACAATAGTTGGTACCCTCTGCGTTTGCACAGCAATTATGTCACTTCATTCTGTCCATCTGCTGTGGCCATTTGTTGGGTGGGAGGCCGGTCATTATTTGCCTTAGTGATAGACACAGGCCAATGGATGTCATGGCTCCATAAATCCATCTAACATGCTCCCTCCCATCTTGAATTCGTGACCGTGAATGTAACGCTTGTTAAACCTTGAACAGCTTGCTTAGTGTATTATAGTGTCTGTATAGTGTGCGTTTGAGATTGTGCCAGTTCAGATTAACTCACAGCTGACAGATATGTCTAAAAATAGTGCGGCTCACAATCCATTACAAACTAGCAGATTAGTGTGTACACACTTTTCAATCCACAGTATGTCAATACTCCAGTCATGTAGGGAAAACTGGGAATATGTAGATATCAAGTACTTGTCATTGTACAACGTTTTTAGAAATGTAAGCTAATAAATTGAGCAAATGCTCATCTATATGGAATCGAACGCATGGGAATCACTGTTCCTCAATAATTGTGAATTATGTCTTGTTGAGGCTGAGCTTATTATTGTATGCCGCTGTTGAGAATGTAATAAGAACTCATGTTTGAGTATAACTGTAATGAGCTGTTTTGCGGTATACTTTCGCAGTTGCTGTTGTTTTGGGGTGGGGGAGTTCCTTTTGGCTCATTGTAAACCAGGATTCTGGCGGAGGATAATATTGTATATTGGCTTCAGGGATTTGTCTGCCACACAGAGCCCACAACCATTACCGTGTGATATTGGCATCATGGGAAACTAAACATAACTTTTGTGTTATAGGATATGTTGTCCCATTTTCATACAACACTCATATTCAGCTATATAGATATTTCCTCTGAAAGCTGTGGTTTTATTTTACAGCTTGCTCTACTGTTCCCTTCATGAACTGTTGAGCTCCTGCTCCACGGTTTACAACTGCTGCCACACTCAGCCACACTTGTTGCCAATATTCAGCTTATATCCATGTACAACTGCTGTGTCATCACAAGAAAAGACTCCTAGTCATCCCACTCTGACGGCCGGCGGGGCCCGCCCGCGGGCCGTCAGAGTGTTAACGGCATATTTGTGTTATGCACACAACTGCTCTGTAACGATGAGTATTAATGTGATATCTCATTAGAAAGCTACGGTTCTTGTAATTCGATTTATACAAACCATTTCAAGATACAATAACAACAGCAGGTACAGTTAACGTCTCTGTCAAACAAGCACTCCAAAAATAGCCGATAAAATATCGCCGTGA